AAGGGTCCACTAATAAATTCTCTGCTGACTAACGACACCGTTGCACCTGTGTCCACTAAACATTTTCGCTCATGGTCGCCCAATCGTGCCTTTACGAAGACTGCCGTGGGCTGAACACAGTTTATGGGCAAGGCCGCATTATCCTGGGCTGACCCCCGGCCTAGAAACGGGTCGGCCCTTGGTCGTTTCCCTGACGTGGTTGGCTATTAATGGAGGACTGGAATCGAAACTGGCATTCCCGCGCGAAATGTCCCATCTGTCCACAAACAAAGCAGTAATTTTCAGTTTGGCGCTGTCGATAATTCATTCGTCGCCCGTTTCCGGACGTACTCCTACATTCGCTGGCGATGTGACCCATTCGCCCACATTGATAACAAGGGCCCCGGCGCCCCGCGGGGAAATTTCGCACAGACGCTGCGTTTACGTTAGCAACAGATTGAGATAATTCACTAACCTTCCTCGTAAGAATATCTACACTTTCCATCAATTGCATAACCAAGGGCGACTCTACTACCGTTTGATTCGTGCCACCGCTCGTATTCACTTCGTTAACCGATTGACTCGATGAAATCTGACCCGCTAAATCCAGCTGTTGCCCCGCCGTAACTGTCTCCTCGTACGAGAGGGTCGGTCGTTGTAATAATTGTCTCTTTAGTTCTATAGACACTCCTTCGACAAATTGTTGCTTGAGAAGTGTTTCTCTGTCACCCTTCTCGATGTTTGGCATCGCGCGTCTTAATGGCGCTTCTAAATTGTAGGCGAATACTTGGATGTCTTCGTCTGGCTTTCTCATTCGGCTGCGAAATGCTATCATCGCGAGATGTTTGCCGTTCTCATCACCACCAAAAGCCTCCGTTAGCGCTTTCGTTAGTACTTTAAAATCTTCTTTCGTCTCCGCCGCAAGACGTTCGAAAATCGCAAAAGCTTTGCCAGACAACAGAGTTGGCAGCCTTTTTAACATATCCGTATCTTTCCAATCGTTCGCCTTCGCACAAAGCTCAAATTTTCGTAGCCACAGAACCATATCGCCGTCTGAAAAGATCTCGGGAAGTGCTACACTCGTACGCGTCGCTGTTGCCATCCTGGTCACGGCACCAAATGTAATATAAGCGAATCAGACAACAACGATACAAAACCAGACTTTTCTATTCCTCTTTTTCACGCTAGAATATCACACAATAACAATTCTAATGTCCCTGTCTCATATTACTAATGTCCTAATACCTTGTCAATCACCCCTGTGACACTTGATACCTATTATTATTATAGTCATACATATTACACTATATAGACCTATATCACTACTGACAAACGTTCCAAAGTTATTTGAAAAGGTTATGCAAATCAGGTTAACATTATTCATTGAGCAATGTGAAATTTTGTATAGATTTCAGTTTGGTTTTCGCAGTAACCATTCTACTATGCATTCACTTGTTTCTCTAATAAATAACGTTGCCACGGCCATTGATCGGAACCAGATAGCTGCTGGAGTGTTTATTGATCTTTCAAAGACTTTTGATACTTTAGATCATGAAATATTATTTACTAAATTACAACATTATGGTATAAAAGGCGTTCAGTGCACTTTAATGGATCAAGAGCTATTTATGCTATCGTGAAGAATTTGTTCAATATAACGAAACCTGTTCCTCCATGGAAAAATTAAAATGTGGAGTTCCGCAAGGGTCTATTTTAGGTCCATTATTTTTTATTTTATATATCAATGATCTACCGAATGCACTAGACCTGTCAAAATCTTATCTTTTTGCTGATGACACTAGTATATATTATTCAAATTTGGATATCAAGCAGCTTGAATTTGTTTTGAAAAGTGAACTTCGAAAGTTGGATATCTAAATTATATCATTTTTCGGCCGAGACAAAAGAAAATTAATTTAAATCTACTTATCCAATATAACAATAAAATGATACCCAAAAACAATATATAAAATTTTTAGGAGTATATATAGACGAACATTTGTCATGGAAGGAACACATTAATTATATTTGCAATAAAATCGCCAAGTCTGTTGGAATCATTTACCGATCACGATATCTACTGTCATCCGCGACAAGATTATCCTTGTACTACACACTTATATGTCATTATCTTGCTTATTGTAATATAGTCTGATCTTCCACTTATGTAACCAACCTCAATAGAATTCTTCTTCTACAAAAACGTGTTGTACGTATTCTTACAAATTCCGAATACCGTGCACACTCTGATCCACTTTTTAAACAACTCAAAATATTGGATATATTCATTTCACATTGGCAAGTTTATGTTTTTATATCATCATTGCATGTTGCCAACATGCTTTGATGAACTGTTTACAACAAACAATCAAATACATGGTTATAACACCAGATCTGCTGGTAACTATAGATCTCATGCTTGTCGAACTGATATTAAGCAGTTCACCATTTTATACTCAGGACATGTACAGAATATTTGGAATTCTAAATATAACTGTTATAAACACAATCTCGTCTTTCAAGATGCAACTTCGTAATTTTTTTTCTTCGAATAACGATGTTAAACATGCTATGACCATGTTTATCGAATATTCAGTAACAATATATAAAATTGTTGGAAAATCTATTATATAATTTCGCAAATTTTCTCTCTTAACTTCATTATGTCTCAATTTCATTATATATGTCTGTAACTTAATTTCAATTTCATTATATATGTCTGCAACCCTAAACTGTGATTATACTGATAAATTAAATATTTAATTTTGAGATGGGGTGGCCTCTTTACACAAGCTCTAAGCTTCTTGAGGTCTCCTCGTCGACTTTATTTTATTAATATCTTGTAAATAGCTAACAGTCTTTTTTTTGCAAATAAAACCAATAACCAAAAAAATCCCGACTTTTCCTACCTCCTAGCTGAACAGGCGTCTTATGGGTCTATTTACATGTTCGCAGGCTACAGGTGATTCGAATTCTGGTTAGCCCATTCATTCGCATTGAGCCCTAATGTGCCCTACTTTATTATTTTACTCTGTCTAACGCTAGAAAATTTCACTCATCAAGGGGAGAGTGCATGCTGGTGCTTAATGAGTTAACAGAACTCAAATGTTGTATGCTAGAGAAAATCTTATAGTTCAAGAAGATTAATATTATTGCTACTTGAACAACATTTTGTTTACAGTTAACTATAATCTATCTCTAGAAAATAAAGTTTTTTGCTGAATCGTGCACCGTAACTTATTTCAATACATCAAAATGATCCTGCCATATACAACTCGTCGTCAAATTTTTGCTGCCTTAGACAGTGGTCATAACTCCATCAGATTGTTTTTCGCCGATTTCAGGAAGGGCTTTGATTTAGTGGACCATAGCGTTATTATAAACGAACTTGGAAATCTTAATGTCCACCCTGTCCTTATACCCGCTGCATTAAAGCGTTCTTGACCAACCGTCAACAATGTGTCAAAGTGGATTGCCATTGAATCCTCGTGGAAAACTGCCAATGGAGGTTTACCCCAGGGAACATGTCTGGGTCCTCTTCTATTTGCTATCTTGGTCAACCCATTATTAAAGGACTGGAATGGTCGTCTAAAATTTTTCGATGATACAACAGCATTGGAAGTAGTCCCAAGGTGCTCTCCTACTCTATTGCCTTTAGTTGTTGAAGAAATCTCCGAATTCTCATCCGCTCGTGGAATGGAGCTTAACCCTAAAAAATGCAAAGAAATTATTATAAATTTTCTTCAATACCGAATCCCATGTGATCAATATATGTCCATTAATGGACAATGCGTTGAAAGAGTACACAGTTTTAAGCTCTTGGGTGCCTATCTATCAGACGATCTTACCTGGAATACCCACGTTGACCATATCTTGAAGAAAGCTAACTCCCGACTCCCTATCCTCCGTTTATTGAAGAAAGCAGGCCTGGGTCACACTGATCTTATAACCATCTACTGCTCAGTTATTCGCTCCATACTTGAATATGCATCTCCAGTATGGGCAGCTCTTCCTGACTACCTATCCTCTCATCTTGAATCGGTCCAAAAGAGAGCACTTTTAAAAAGCATTGCAGACCTCAAAACCTTGGTATGTCGAAGAGATGAGTTATGTAGGAGATTTCGGCCACCCCGTTAATACGGTCAACGGCCATATTGTAGGGTCCCGAACTAAAGAAATCATCCCGTTAATACGGTCACTCAAAAAAATAAATGTGTTTACGGACGGAAATGCAGTATAATTTAAGACACCTTGTGCAGTGAAAGACACAATTCAAGTTGCATCATATTACTAATTTTTTTATTTTTATTATCAGTCTGCCAAAGGAAAAGAAAGAATACTGTAGGTTTGAAACGCTTATCCTACTGTAATAATAGTTCATTATGTTTTAGTTAATATATATATATATAGTTAATTTGATTGATATATACCAGGACGGAAACAGCTATACCATATGTTCCTAATAGACTAGATAGCGTGAGTTCGTAAAGCTGTGACTGCGTCAGAGTAAGGACGTGTAATTGCTACAAAGCTATTTTAAAAGGGGATATTTCTACATATTTGTACGAAGAACTGCTATTGAATTCATCGCTACTCGTTTGGTACAAGTGTAAACCAAAGTACGTAAGTTTTACAGTATTGCATGTGCTTGTTAGTTTTGTTAGTCAATGACATTTGTGTGTTAGTTTTCGCATGCATTTAAGTAACATAGTTGTTAAGTAGTTTATTTTATTGTCATGTTTCAGTTCGAACCTACAATTTATGCTACAATTTATGCTACAATTTCAATTTGTGTCGCAACTTATCTACAATTTATCCTACAAATCTACGACTGCGCCTAACCTACAAGTCCCACATCGTGTTTATTCTGCGATTTGCTACCCGCGTATTGAATTTCTACTTGGCTACAATACGTTGCGTGACTTGTACAAAAGGCCATTTTGTTGAATATTAAATTTGTTAAACATTGTACATCGATTTGCTATTTGTTGAGTTCGAATATTTATTTGTACCTATATCAACCATTCAACCCCCATGTGACTCTTGTATTTGGCAACCAGGAGTTACAAATACAAGGTTCTTTAGCGACGTTTAACTTTTGAATTTTTGCTCTTTTCGTCCAGTTCAGAGTATCTTTTTCTGGTTTCATGTCTGACCGATAAATTATTGTCAATGTCCAAAAGTTTCTTTAATAAATCGACATATATTTTATCACCCTGAAATTTATAGATGCACGGGACTTCCATACCATATCCACCTCCATGATGATTGACAGTTTTTCCAACTACCTTGACTTCAGCTTCACTGCCTGTTTTCATTAGGAAGTGCCTGATTATACCTGTTCCTTGCTTTGTACTATAGCTAAGCCCTTTGGTATATGGCCAACCACTTTCCCGTCTTTTACCACAGCAATAGCATTCTTGTCCTGCTCATTTTGTGGCTCGTGTTTCAAATTCAGAACTACTCCAATCTTGATCTGCCAGTAATCTTTGTACGCATGGTATCCCCGAATCCATGAAGGAATTTCGATTTCATCAAAGGCTTAGATCCGACATAATGCACGAAATACAAACACGTTTTTGCTATCTGCGAACGGCTAATGAAATGTTTCCTTGTGTTCTTGTGTTGTCGGAAGTGTGTGGGGATTGTCAAAATAATGTCAGTTATACTAGTTATGGTAGAAGATGTGAGAAAGTGTGAACAAGGTATATGGTTTCAAAATTTCGCAGCTTTGTGCGCAAACGTATTTATACTTTTGAGTCGTTCCTTGTCTCGAGTGAGTTACGTTTGTCATGTCATCAAAAGGTAAACGTAAACGGCAAGAACTTGACTTGAAAACGCGATATGAAGTAATCAAATTTAGCGCTGCAAATCCTAAGGAAAGCACAAGAAAACTAGTAGAAAAAATTGGTTGCGGAAGAACTCAAATTCAAGGGAGATGAGATCCTGTCAGCTTTCGAGGCTAATTGTAGCAGCGACACAAAAGGGTCGAGAGGAGGGAAGAATGCTGAAATTGATAGCGCATTGCTGGCATGGTTTCGTAAAGCGAGAAGCAAGAATATCCCTATATCTGGTCCGATACTACAAGAAAAAGCCATGCAAATTGCCAAAGCTTTAGATGTAGCTCCATCTGAGTTTAAAGCATTAAACGGATATCTAGATCGCTTTAAGAATAGAAATAATATCAAGGCTAGATTTATTTCTGGTGAAGTGGGAGATGTGAACGAAACAACGGTCGACTCCTGGAAAGAAAAACTCCCAGAAATCGTACAAGGATGGGAACCCGAGAACATTTGGAATATGGATGAAACTGGTCAATTCTTTAGCCTTTGCCGAATAAATCTCTGGCAGATTCATCCCGTAATTGTACAGGTGGTGGAAAAAAATCTAAGGAAAGACTGACTTGTGCTTTTTTCGTGAATGCTAAAGGTGGCAAAGAAAAGCCTATTGTTATTGGCAAGTCAGCTAAGCCAAGATACTTTAAGGGGATTTCCGATCGATCAAAATTACCGTGCGTGTATTTCAATCAACGTAAAGCGTGGATGGAAAGTGAAATTTTGGAAGAGATTCTCATTAACCTGAATCGCCGTTTGAAAACCCAGAATCGAAGAATCCTCTTGTTTATGGACAATGCCCCATGTCACCCCGAAGATCTGGGCGAGAAATTTACACAAATCAAAGTCCTGTTTCTACCTGCAAACATTACATCTCGCTTGCAGCCACTTGACCTCGGAATAATACAGGAATTTAAACTCAAGTACTACAGGTGCTTGTTAACACACGTAGTTAGCACAATTGATGTGTGTTCTTCTGCATCTGAAGTTTGCAAGTCAATCGATGTTTTACAAGCAATGCGATGGACTGCAATGGCATGGAACGATGTTTCAGAATCAACCGAGTCATTAAATGTTTTATCAAGGCAGGCATACTTAGTTCTGAAGGTGGAGTTAATGCCCTGGAGCCGGAGAACAGTGATGTTACGTTGATCCTTTTGCTGAACTTCAGACTGAAATCAGTAGCATCGAGAACATGGCCCATCAAGCGAGTGATGTAGATGCCATAAGCATTAAGGAAGTAGTATCTGGCTGCTATGACCCACCAGTATGCAAAGAATTATCAGACATTGCAGGGAATACAGTTTCTTCAGAGATTTAGACGTGAATCAGTCAACTGTTGATATCAACAACAGCGACGATGACAACAACGTAAATGATGCTGATAATGAGGAAGGAATTTCGATTCCAACTTTAAAAGTAACTTCATATAAGGAAGCTGTAACAAACCTCGAAGACGCTTTGCAGTTTTTACAGTCAAAGGGGACATTATTACGGCAAACGAACTTTCGAAAGTAATTTTTCAAACACAAAACGATTGGCTTCAGAAAAGGAACAACCAATCAAAAGTCACCGATTATTTTACCAAATCCTAACATTGTTTCTTTATTAGTGAAAACTTTATCTGAACTTTATAATGTTTAGTTATTAATTGGTATTATGGTGGGGTATGGTGTTATTGTGATTTTCGAATAAACATCGCTTTAATGACGTCACAATTGATCTCACCCCGTTAATACGGCCACCCATATTATTTCGGCCCGTTGGTGTCGGTCTCAAACTAAGTGCAGTAGGTCTCAAAATTATACGTTTGTTTACACGCGGTGCTTTGCGAAGCAAACTAAATATTTCTAAACTCGGAGACGTATCAATCTCAATGAGTTGAAAATTTCCCGAAACGTAATCAAGCAGCTCAGAAATCATATGAAGAAATATTACGTACTTATATCGCGAGTTTATGAACGAATGATCAGTCAAAACACGCGGCAAGGGATGACGTTTCCATTTAATTTCCAAATATGGAGATATCTATATGTTACGATTACGTGTTTGCACTTTTATTTGGTATTTAGGTTTGCAAGATCATTCACGGGTGATATTCTATATTAACGACCAGCTTCCGAAATGCGATGAATATTGATCAAAATAGCTTTACATTACTCATTATGTATTCCAAATCACCTGGTCCTGATGGAATACCTAATTGGGTGCTTAAATCTTATGCATACGTTCTTTCTTCCCCTGTGGCATCGATTTTCAACGCTTCGATTCAAGAAGCAGTTGTACCCTCAATGTGGAAAAAAGCGAACGTTATCCCTGTTCCAAAAAAATCAGTTCCTAAAGACATTTCTAAAGATTTGCGCCCTATCTCACTTACCCCCACTTTATCCAAAATTTGCGAACGGTTTGTTACAGACTGGTTACTTAAGTCAATTGGCGCAAAGATTGATACGCGGCAGTTTGGCTCCGTTAAAAATTCCTCGGCTACCCATGCCCTACTGAGCCTGATCCATCACCTCCTGAGTGCTACAGATGCTTCAAGCAATGCGGTGAGAGTATTCTTGCTTGATTTTGAAAAAGCTTTTGATCGAATAGATCACAACATACTGGTGAATAAGCTACAACAAATGAGTGTTTCCCAAACCATTATAAATTGGATTAGAAGTTTTCTCTCTGATCGTAAACAACGAGTCAAGTTGGCTAACTGTCATTTGGACTGGCAAACGTTAAACGGTGGAGTGCCGCAAGGGTCGGTGTTAGGGCCGGCTTTGTTCCTTGTTATGATAAATGATCTTCTTATTGATTGGAGCGATAGATGGAAGTATGTTGATGACAGTACGTTTGCTGAACGAGTTACATCAACTGAGAGTAGTGAACTACAAGATCTAGTGAATGTTATCTATAATTGGTGTGAAGTTAATAATATGAAGCTCAACATCGGCAAATGTAAGGAAATGGTAATTGACTTTGCAAGAGAAAAACATGAGTTTTTACCGTTAACTATAAATAACGTTGGTATTGAGCGGGTAAAATCTGCCCGAATTCTTGGTCTCTCAATCCAAGATGATTTGAAATGGAACGAGCATGTGAACCATATTGTTAAAAAAGCGGGAAAACGCCTTTATATGCTAAGGTTGTTAAAACGATCAAATGCCGACAATAGCATTCTAATTTTGGTATACTGCACCATTATCAGACCAGTACTCGAATATGCCTGCCAAGTTTGGCACTTCAATATTACAGAATACCTAAGTGAAGATATCGAAAAACTCCAGAAGCGGGCTCTGCGTATTGTCTTGCCATTTGCTACTTATAGAGAAGCTTGCAGTATTACTGGTATACCCTTACTGAAAGATCGGCGGCGATTATTATGCGAACGTTTTTTTGTTAAAAATGCACATGGAGACAAATTGGGTGACCTCTTACCGCCTAAACTTGAACATAACTATAATACATGTTATGGAAGCGATTATAATAACTATAGTTGTAAAACGGACAGATTTATGAAATCGTTTTTTCCACAGATGGTTTCACATATGAATAGACCATAATTTTAATATTTTTAATATTTTTAAATTTGAACTCTATAACTTTTTCAACTGAAGTTATGAATAATTTTATGCATCTAGATATTCTATTGTAGTATATTGAGACTTTTTACTGATGTAATTTAACCTAATAGGTTACAAATCGGTATTTTATTAAATTATCAAGTACATCGGAACAAATTCAAGAACGCCCTCTAGTTGAATGCATTGTGAACAGTCGTCATGATACTTCAGCCTTGTGTATCAATGCATATGTCGTACCTACCATCTGTGCCCCTCTTAATGGGCAGATCATTAACTCTGCGAAGCAAGAGTACACACACCTGAAAGGACTCAGATTGGCAGAAGAAGCAATAGATGAAGAAGAATTACAGGTTGATGTTTTGATTGGTGCAGACCATTATTGGGACTTTGTAAGCAAGATTGAGAAAAGAGGTGACCAAGGAAGTCCAGTCGCTACTTACACAAGACTCGGATGGGTCCTCAGTGGGCCAGCAGTTGTGAGAGAAAGTCGAGCTGCCTCAATTAATCTCAGTTCCACCCATGTCCTTCGTGTTGAGACTGAAATTGAAACCAGAAATAGTGATCTACGAAGCGAAGTAAAGACATTTTGGGAATTAGAAAGCCTGGGCATCAAGAGTGAAGAAGAAAGTGTCTACCACAAGTTCCTCAAAGATACAGAATTTAAAGGAGAAAGGTATGAAGTCAAATTACCATGGAAAGAGGAAAATGAACTGTTACCTGATAACTACAAGCTAAGTATAAACCGATTGAATTCCCAGCTAAGACGACTCAAAGCGAAGCCAAACGTGTTGGAAGAGTATGATCGAGTCATTAATGAACAACTGAAGACCGGAGTGATAGAGAGAGTCGAAGAGTCAACACCGAAATCTCTTGGAAAGGTACATTACCTGCCACATAGAGAAGTTGTTCGACCTGAAAAGTCCACCACGAAACTAAGAGTGGTATACGATGCATCTGCAAGATCAAATGGACCGTCATTGAATGATTGTCTTTATGTTGGTCCGTCATTGTTACCTTTATTATTCGACATTCTGCTTCGGTTTCGACTCCACAGAATTGCATTGGTAGCCGATATAGAAAAAGCTTTCTTGAACATTAGCATTTCTGAAGAAGATAGAGATTTTCTAAGGTTTCTGTGGGTAAATGAAATCAAGAGTGACCAACCAGAGGTAGTAGTGTACCGATTTGCTCGTGTAGTTTTTGGAGTCGCGTCGAGCCCCTTCCTCTTAAATGCAACATTACAGAAACACATCAACACATACAAGAGCACCGACCCGAAAATTGTGGAAAACCTGCTACAATCCCTCTACGTAGATGATCTCAATTCAGGAGCAGACAACACACCGGAAGCGCTACATCAGTACTCGAGAGTAAAGGAGATAATGCATCAAGGTGGATTTAACATGAGAAAATGGAAGACGAACTGTCCTGAATTAGCACAAGTGATTAGAGAAACCGAGAATGAAGTATCAAGCACTCAAGATGCAACCACTACAGAAACCACTATGTCGTATGCCAAACAAGTTCTTGGCTCCCAGCCTGATGATGAGAAAGTTCTGGGTGTAACATGGAACAACTCCTCTGATACTCTAGTTTTTCGCCTCGACAAGATGGTAAACTGCGAACCAGAGTTGTTACAACCAATTACGAAGCGTGATCTCCTCAGTTCAACTGCAAAGATTTATGACCCAATGGGATTAATCTCACCTGTTGTTCTTATGATGAAAGTTCTGTTCCAGGAAACGTGCAAGGCCGAGCTAGACTGGGACATGCCGTTACCGTTAGAACTTAGTACTCGCTGGGAAGTGTGGAGAGCGAATGTGTCTAGCTGTCAAGAAATTACCATTCCAAGATGTGTTATACCCGAAAACAAGGAATTGATCCAGTCCATAGAGCTTCATGGCTTTGGGGACAGTTCAAAATATGCCTATGGAGCGGTGGTGTATTTGCGAGTTGTATCTGAGCACAAGGTTCACACGAATATCATTGCATCCAAGAGTAGAGTAGCACCCTTAACCGAGCAAACCATTCCCCGACTAGAACTTTTATCGGCTTTGGTTTTAGCGAGACTTATTCACTCAGTTCAGTTAGCGTTCGCAAACGTAATCAAGATAACTTCAGTTTACTGCTGGTTAGATTCGATGATAGCTTTATCGTGGATAAAGGGTACTTCTAAAGAATTCAAGCAATTTGTCCAAAATCGTGTGGTAGAAATCCGTAAGTTGGTGTCTGTGAGAGATTGGAGATTCTGTCCGGGACTTAACAACCCAGCAGATATTGTGTCAAGAGGTATGTTACCTTCAGAACTGAGTCAGAGCAAGTTATGGTGGAATGGACCAGACTTCTTGGCAAGAAGTGATCCTGAATGGTCAAAGGACGGTGAAGAAATTATTTGTATAAACGATGAGGCTCGAATTCAAAGCGAGAGAGAAGTCAAATCCAAACCAACTAGTGCAGCCAGCTTGTCATGTGCCAATGACAATGTTACAGAAAAGCAATCGCAATTATCGTTAGAGAACATTTTGCCAAAGGAACGATACAGCACTCTTTGTAAACTGCTAAGAGTTACGAGTTATGTTCTAAGATTCATCGCAAACCTTCGGACAAAGGTTGCAGGAACTGAACCAAATCTAAGTCGTCTTTCCCTTGAAGAAATAACAGAAGCGAAGCATATATGGTATAAGCACATACAAGGAGCGATTCAAACAAGCAAAAGTTTCAAGCAAGTTCAAGCATCACTGGGTCTATTCAAGGATAATTGTGGTATCTGGAGATGTGGTGGAAGATTATCCAATGCTAATATTGAACTTTCTGCTAAACATCCAGTTTTCTTGCCCAATGATCATTGGTTTTCTACCTTGTTGGTGGAAGAATGTCACAGGAGAGTAATGCACAATGGTGTAAGAGAAACACTTTGCGAAATTCGTTCAGAACATTGGATTGCGAAGGGAAGACAATTTGTCAAGAAGATTATTGCAAAATGTACTACGTGCAAGAGATACGAAGGAGGAACTTATCAAATACCACCTCAACCATCATTACCAGATTTTCGAGTTTCTGACGATTTTGCCTTCACGCGAGTCGGTGTGGACTTCGCAGGTCCCGTTTATGCCAAACCAATCTTCTCAAAAGGTACGAAATCACCTGTTTTTAAGACGTATATCTGTCTATTTACGTGTGCCTCGTCACGAGCATTACATCTCGAATTGGTTCCAGATCTATCTACAAAGGCATTTATTCGCTGTTTACAGAGATTCATGTCCAGAAGAGGTATCCCAAAAATGTTTATTTCGGACAATGGAAAAACCTTTAAGGCAAACGAGCTTGCAGAATTCGCAACCAGAAATAACATCAGCTGGAAATTCAACATTGAGAGAGCCCCTTGGTGGGGAGGATTTTTTGAAAGACTTGTGAAATCGGTGAAAAGGTGCCTGAGAAAAATTGTTCGAAGAGCTAGATTGACGTACGAGGAATTGGAGACAGTCTTAGTGGAGATAGAGGGCGTTATCAACAGTCGTCCACTGACGTATGTGTATAGTGACGAAGTTTGTGAAGGTCCGTTAACACCTTCGCATTTAGTTATGGGTCGTCGCCTTCTCAGTCAAGCACCTGTCGTGAGAGATGAGACTGACACTCCTGCGGGTAATGGAAGTCTGTCGCGTCGCGCAACTTATTTGAAGAAATTATTAGAACATTTCTGGAAAAGATGGAGTCGCGAGTATTTGTTAGAGCTTAGAGAACGTCATCGTGTCAAAGGAATCAGAAGAAGTGCGAAGGCGAATCCCAAGGAAGGAGATATAGTTTGCGTGTACGAAGAGAAAACTCCAAGGAATCTATGGAGATTGGGAAAGGTCGAAAAACTTTTCAAAGGAAACGATGGTCAGGTTAGAGCAGTTGCACTCCGAATATGGAACAAAGGAAAAGAAACAATAACGTTGCAGCGACCTGTTCAGAAAGTATATCCAGTCGAGGGATCTCGCGTTGACGAAACTACAAGTGTTCCAGTAAGAAGGTCAGAACGAGTTGCAGCTATCGAAGCCAGGAAGCAGCAGAGCAAACGTGGACGATAAGTACTTGTTTGTTATCGCAGATACATTATACTGTGATCATTGTTGACATTATTAACTGACATGCGTCATTTAATCGGGGGGAGTGTGTATGAAATTAGACGTTATAGTTACCCGGGGATTTAGCTCCGGGGGTCTTTGCACGGGGTCTTTTATAGCGAGCACATGGAAATTTAGTTGTTGTTCTGCTTTTGTACAATTATAGTTTTTATTTTAATCTTTATCGAGTTTAGTTCAATAATATACGGATTTTCCGTACATAGTTCAAGCATGGACTAAAAGCTCAAAATCAACAACAATGCCTGGACTTTAATACAAAACAAATTTTAGAACGGTAGAAACGTTTTAAAGTGCTTTTTTCGTGTTTTATCGTGACTTCGGCGCGTCCAAATTTTTACAATTTTCCACGAATATAAAACGGAAATTCCTCAATTTTTCGCCCCAAATAAATGTAAAACAGTCAGGACTGTTGATAAAAGCAGGATTGAATACTTGATCGTAACCAAAAGTTGGAAAAAATAGATTTTCTTGGTTTTACATCCGGGTATAACTCAAATTTGCATCCACTAACAAGCTTCAATTTGTCCCTTTCGTTTGCCTGAACTTTTCCTGCAATGCCCACTCTATTCTTTTATACTCTCTGATGAGGGTGACAAAATTTGTTTTGTCAATGCACATTAACTTTGCAAAATGGGCTGGAATGGTCTCATGGGTTATGTCCAGGATTGAAGCTTGAATTAAATGAGAAATTGAGACGGGTGAGGCAGTGTTTTGGAGGCCCATCTCTCAACAGAATCGGGTTAATTATAGTAATCGCGCGATATTCACATAAAAAGATTGTTCATATAATATCTAAAGGCCGGTTTACACTTTCTAGTGCGATTTTCTTCTTCTGATGCATGTGAACGAGTGGATGAACTATATATAAGATATCTATGATATACCCTCATCTGAACATTCATAACTCATCCACTCGTTCACATTCATCAGAAGAAGAAAATCGCAGCAAAAATTGCAGGTGTAAACGGGCCCTAATGGTAGGCAGGTGCAGGCTCTTATCAAAGAACATGCATGTACCACTACTATATTATCTCAACTCAGCAGCTGCTCGCGGGCTGCTCAACGGCAAAAATTAACGTTTATACAGTTTCTACCATTTTGCTGCTATAAATTTCAGTCCTTTTAAAACTATGGTTCAGATTTAATGCACATGGTAAAATATCATGGCTATAGAACTTGTTAATTACTTGGTTAATACAAATATTGGGAGGAAGGCGGTCGCACTCCCCCACCTTCTGTAATAAAGATTATCATGTCAAACCTCAGGTTAGCTCCGCCTTCACTGACTGCATGTTGAAGACCATCTTCAAGATTTGAGACATACGTCTTAAGATGAGTTACATCTAACGCTTTCCACAGCTGTTCGTCACTGTACTGACCAAACGGATCCAGATTAAAACGCAGTGTGCCTGTGAACACCACAGGATCCTACGATGAAAAGGTCAAAAATTCAATGACATATTGTATAGATTCTATTTCTAAAACTAAACTAAACCAACTCAATTATTCTGGAAAGTTCTACCAGATCCATGGCGAAAAGTTTGTTTGTTTGAAAGAATTTTTAAGATTATACAGAAAACCATTTTACAAATTCTTCAAAAACTCATTAATAATTCATGAAGCAATTATCCAATCTTGAGTAAGAAATTAGTCACGTGCATACGTCTTTATACCAGCTAAAGAACACTTTAACAAAAGACCATTGTTATGCAAGCTATATAAAGATTTTTATATAAAGATTTTTATATAAAGATTTGACTTATTATGCAACCGTTTTTGAAGCCATTTAAAAAACTCGCAGGTCGTGTTTTATTAGGTCTAAAGCCACTCGCGCTGCGCGCTCGTTTTTTAAATAGTACTTCAAATGCTGCTTAACTCCCAAAATATTTTGAACAAAATTCATCATAAATCAGTGAGAAATACGAACATTATTACGGTCGATTTCACAAAACGTTTTCCAAAATCTTTCGAAGTTCGTTCAGATCTAAAAGTTCGCCAATTCTGTTGCGAAGTTCCACAGTTCATAATAATATTCACAAACCAATTTGTAAACCAAGCATTCGATTGGCTTCTTTTAATTCATGAGCCAATCAGAGGCTTTGTTTACAAACCAGCTTATGAATTTTAATTCGAATTTTGAAAGTTTCGAATTTATGAACGAGGTTTGCAACATTTTGTGAAATCGACTGTAACATTCTACAAAGAACTGTGTAAACACTATTGAACATTCTATAAATACGACTTGTGTTTATTTAATGTGGAACAATAATGTAAACGTCAGAGTAATATGTCTTGTTTTTTGTTGAAACGTCCGAAGTGGCTCAATCGATGTTCGAGTTTTTCCTTTTAATCTGCCTGCTCCAAAAAGGGGCCTTGGTACGACCAGGCACTGTCAGGCCATCCTCTGAGTATAATCTTAAATGGTGGGTGCCAGTGTAGATACTATGCAATCTTGCTTCTTTGTCTACCGAAGTTTTGTCATCTTCTAAAGCCCAGGTCCGATAACGATACGATAACTTGTACACGCGCGCTGATTGGTCAAAAATTTATCGTTATCGTCAGACTGAAAAAAAAATCGCTCGGGTGAGCGATTTTAAAATCGTTATCGATAACGATAATTTTATCATTTTCGTTGTAGTGTGGACACTAACACAATGTTTTTCCAATTATCGTGTGTTTACAATTTATCGTATCGTTATCGTTGTGTAGTGTGACCGGGCCTTAAGTATCTTAAGTATAAAGACCCCAGCCTCATTTTGCCACCATTTTAAAGCCTCCGCAAAAAACCCCAAGCGGACTAAATAGAGGAAATACGGTAATCATTCTTTTTCTTCTATCATCTACCTGAGGAATGATGGTAAGTCTTGAACGCAGATCATGTACACCAAGCTGTGATATAGGAATACCATCAATAACAATTCTTCCTCCAGCGGATTCAACCACTCGAAATAACGCCATCGTCATTGTTGATTTTCCGGCACCTGTACGTCCCACTATACCAACCTAGGATTTCAATTCATGTTCAGTGGCGGTTGTTCAAAGCTATAGATCAGCGCTAACCTTGGGTTAAAATTTAACACGCGGTTTCGTTTTGGGTACATCTGCACTTCTGTGTATTTCAAAACTTTAAAACTTACAATACAATACAATACAATACAATACAATACAATACAATACAATACAATACAATACAATACAATACAATACAATACAATACAATACAATACAATCAGAGGAAATTTCTATCACATATAAATGTACGACACGCTTATGATTCTTCTTTGTGTTTTCTCATGAATTATTGAGTTTTTGAATTCTATGTCAAATTTGCTCCAGTTATAAAAGATGTTCTTAGGACTATTCATATCGAGATTCCAAGTCAAATGGTCTTAGGGCAACGTGTATGTTAATACTTACCTTCTCTCCTTGTTTGATCTCACACTCGATACCACGCAGAGCAAGATCAAGATTCTCTCTGTATCTGAGATCAAATCTTTCAAATTCAATCACACCCTTATCTGGCCACGCCTCTGGAGGACGACACTCTTCATTGATCCAGTCCGCCTATGGGAAATTAAAGGACCAGTATAAGTATAGTATTCTACCTCTCTCCTCCGCAGAGGCTTACATGAAGTTTCTAGTGAGGGAAAAGTGAGCGCGCAAGGAGTGATGGGAAGAGCTAAATAAAGGAAGCCTCTGCGAGTCAATGCAATCAATATGGCGTCGTATATAATCGTTTGTAGCGATGTTCGATCAACCATCAGGGGTGTTAAAACATGTTTTCGACTTTCATTTTCAGGCGTACTTGAGTATCCTGGGTGAATTCAATATCAATATCTTCTTCTGTCCATTTGCATCGAAAAATATTGAGAAATTGCAAACGAATATCAATGGATACGAGCTATCTGATTATAAATATCCTCTTAATTGCAACATTTCTTTATAAAAATGACTCTATTGAACTTCGATACTCAGATTATGAAGATTCATTTCAATTTCTTTCACATTTCCGTCGATTTCAAGTTTAAAAAAAGGTCAAACAGCTAGTTTGGTTCAAAAACCATACTTCGTCGCATTATCTGGCAGAGCGTCCCCAACTTCATTTCAATCTTCCCACCACACCGCGCGCACTCACTTTTATTCAGGAAACTTCATGTAAGTTATTTGTAAATACTTAAGGAGGATCTGCGGAGGAGAGAGGTATTCTACAATAAACTTTTGTGGGTTAGGCCTCGACTATCTGAAACAAGAGTAAAAAACGTCGTCATTTCAAACAAAGCCCTTCATCTATCCCTGTGGTGCAACTTAACTATTCTTACCACTTGCAATCAGGGGCCAGTTGTTCAAAGGTGGGTTAGCGCTAACCCTCGGCTAAAATTTAACCCGCTGTTTTGGTTGGTGTATATTTCTGCACGTCTATTTATCTCAAAACGTCAGAGAAGTAAACTCCTATCGATTCAGACAAGATTTCTAAAGAAACATTTCTTCATTTCGAACAACCGGCCCCAGGGCAAGTTGGACATGAAAATTGGTTGCCCGGAATGCATTTCACTTGCCATGAGGTCTAGTTTTGCCCTCACATATATATTAACAAACTTTGAAGCAAATCATTCAAGGATTGATTAACCATCATTGTATAGTCTGGGGGAAACGCTAAGTTACACCACTGCATCAGTAACTTGCAGCTTTCCCTTGACTCGTCATGTCTTCTTTATCTTTTTCAGCTAGTTCTGATATAAACTAGGCTTGAGGTCAAAAATGTTAGACGAGTTTCACAAGCAGCCAGACTGAAAACAGAAACACGACGGACAGACAAGACTTTATGCAGTACTATAATTCTAATTCCGCGGGTAGCTGATAAACTGAATGACCGACCAACAAATTGACCGACCGACCGTTCAGACAGTCGGCATGTCCGGCCGAGAGAGAGGCGGTGCAACGTTGACCTTTAGACGTATAGAATAGAAACATGAATCAACAACTGAACTCTCCCTCCGGTTAACCAACCAGATGCGCGTACTAAGCCAGTGAGAAATAGTCAAATCTAAACCTCTCTATTTCTACGGAGAAGAGAGGGAAAGAGAAACTTGGAACATGTCTACGTTTTATGGAAACTCAACCATAAAAATAACAAAATACCTCTCGTTCAACTTTGGAGTATTCATTAATTCTTTCAACCGCAACAATACGAGCTTCCAACTCACTTGACATACGAACTGACCAATTAAGACTCTGTGTTACCTGTGCAATACAGAATATTTAAAAATGTCAAATTGACACATCATCCTCCGCAAGGTAGTGCTTTAGTGGACGGGCAACATTTAGTTGCGTGCACTATATAAATACAGTGTCAATCTACAATCAGTAAAGACTGATTCATATAGTATAGTACATAGAGTTTTGTAGATGGAAATTATCGAGTGTAAATTTAATAAACACTTATTAGACCTAACCATGCAGGAACAGCTGCGAAAAATGCAACTCTACTTTTCTCGACTTAGACAACGTTTATTTTTAAAACTACTTCGCCAATAAACTCATAAGATGCATTGTTTTTTAAGGCATTTAAAACACCCGCAGTCCGTGCTTGTGCGTCCTCGTGTTTTAAGTACAAGATAAAACATGAGCAGCCGATCTGTATCCGATATACAAACTCGAGCCGAAGGCGTACTTACAAAATGACCCATCCTATGAGTTCATTGGCGAAGTAATTTTAAAAATAAACATTGTCTAAGCCGAGAAAATCAAAGCTGAAGTTTATGTAAATCACGACAAATCTTTATCCGATTTACAAACATTGATTAAACATTCATTTTTTTTGTATTTTCCTCGTGAATTATTAATGATTTTTTTAAATAGTATATAAAATTTACTCTCGATAGCTTCCATCTACAAAACCCTTCAACTATTGTTCAATCGGGTGAGATGCCAACAAAATCTTGATTTACATGTACATGCAGCATATAGAACGCAAGACAAACTCAGTCCTCTTACGCCAAGCATTGTCTTAGTTTGGTTGCGAGGGAAAACCCTCTTTCTTAAACACATCCATATATAGCTAAGAAGAACCCTTCGAAGAAGGAACTTTCTGAAAAACACATTTAGGTTATTGATTAATTAACCCAAATATAGGTTATTTCTAGGTTAACCAGGGCGTTTAACCAGTAATTTTAACCAGAGTGTAACACAGTAGATCTGAAAAAGACACTGTCCAAATAGCGATCACCGCAACAATTACGTTTGTGAGGCGTGAAAAGTAATTCTTCAATTTAAAGAAAATTCGTCGATTAAATGGGTCATACCTCCAAAGCAACGGTTATGGACAATCCTACGAGACCACTTTCGATTCCATCACGTCCTACCACACCAAACAATGCCGTGAAGAATATTATGAAATTTCCAATAGCCTCGAGGCGAATACCTAACCACCTTAACACAGTGAGGGAAAATTAATATACATTTCAGTAACAAAATAGAACAAAATCATTTTCAATGTATGGCAAATAACATGAGATATTTTAAACTAACATTCACTATACAAAGCGCCGCATTTTGTTTTCCACATGTTTTCCATGAATTTTATTTTCACTTTTTCACTAGACCAAATTGGTAAAATGAAATGTAAAATTAATGCTCGAAATAAAGTTTTAATTCATTTTACAAGTTTCGAAAACACAATACAGCTTCAGGACACCGTATAACAGCACAATTAAAGCATTACATCAAAAGAAAAACTCCCGTACAGTTTGAGATATCTATATGATACAAAACAATGGCTTTAAAAGGATATCACAGCAAGGTTTTTGCTAACAGTCGGGATAGTCTTCGCAGCTATTTTAGAAAGATAAAATTTCAAGAGAATGTTT